TTTCTTTTCTTTTCTTTTCTTTTCTTTTCTTTTCTTTTCTTTTCTTTCCTTTCCTTTCCTTTCCTTTCCTTTCCTTTCCTTTCCTTTCCTTTCCCTTTCTTTCTTTCTTTCTTTCTTTCTTTCTTTCTTTCTTTCTTTCTTTCTTTCTTTCTTTCTTTCTTTCTTTCTTCAAAGCTTTGGCCAAGTTGACTAGAAAAAGTGAGTGATACCTTCTCAGTTGAGGTTTATGAACATTTGCTTAATGTTCCCAGAGAAGCTCTGCGTGGTTGCAACACAGAAGAACTTTCGCTTAGAAGCAAGATGGCCATGTTACTTCATGGAACAGTTCTAAGGAAGTGCTGTTCTTCCAAAGATTTGAACAGCCCTGTGTCTGTTTTAGCTAAGAGGAAGCAATAGCACTTAGACCTATGTACTGCTTCACAGGGCTTTACAGTGTCAGCATATTGCCCCCAACAATCTGAGTCCTCACTGTATGGACCTCAGAAAGATGGAAGGCTGAGGTGGTGAGACTTGAACTGCCAAATTGCTGGCAGTCAGCAGAATTAGCCGGCAATTCTGCATTCTAACCACTGCATCACCACGGCCCTGTTGGCAACCTAATTCTGTGTCCATCTGGAAGTCTTGTAGTTTCATCTCAGCAATTCTTCTTGGTCTATTAGGAAAGAAGGTTGAATGTCTTGTTGGGCCAAATGGCCAAATGTAACATGCAGATATAGATGGATGTATACCCAAGTATTCACAGGTGTACATAAACACCTACACATATAGACATTTAATTTTTGTATTAATTCCTATTATATTCCTGTTTTTAAAAGCTGTGTTTGCCTAGCCTTGGCCTGATAATTTCTTTTGAGTAGCACCACACACAAAGCAGATGCCTAGATAACATGTCTCTCTTCCATGAATTAGAGCCGCACCCAAGCTCTTCTTTTCAATACAACACTTTTCTTTCCGCCTGATACTTCAGAACTGCTGTAGCAAAAGCAGAAGAAGAAAGGCTGCAGGGATGAAGAGATGCGGGCAGGGAGCTGGAGATCAGGGGATCCAATGTAGAAAACCAATTTTTACAAGTAGGATGAGTATTGATTTCTCTCACCTCTTCCCGTAAAGAGATGGTGGGAACGGGCAACCATTTATATAACATGGCAATATATTGGAAATACATTATTAATGGCATCTCTGGAAAAGCTTTGAGTGTTTATTGTCTCCTTCAATTTCAGTGTGATTTTCGCTTTCTGTATGTCTCTCTTACTTCTCCCTCCCTTAAAAAAAAAAAAAAAACAGCAAGTTGCCCTTTAGAATTTATTACTTTGGAAATAGCACATGGAGTCTTCTTCCAAGACCCAAAAGAGCCAGTTTGGTCTAGAGGTTAAGGCATCAGGCTAAAAACTATGAGGGTGTGAATTTTAATCCCACCTTAGGCATGAAAGCTAGCTGGGTGGCTTTGGGTCAGACATTCTCTATCAGCCCAATAGGATTATTGTTGTAGGGAAAATAGAAAGAAAAAGTATTAGATACGTTCGCGACTTTAAGATGTTTATAAAAACATAATGAAAGCAAAATACAAATAAATAAATAAAAATAACCCCATTGAGTGTTTCTGGAATCCTGTTGTTCCTGTTATATCTGGATTTTTAATAAGTTTATTAACTTGAATGTGCATGGTCTTGCAAATAGTTAGGGGGTTAGAGGGTCTCTTTTTTATCACAACTTCTATTGCAGGTCCATGTTTGCTTGAACATAACTGTATTTCTCTGCTATCAGAAACAGAATTAAAAATAAAATACAGAGGTTACTGTAATTGAGTGCTTGGTTCAGAAGGCTCTGTGCATGTCCTAAAATATCTCCCTACCACCTGGATCATAACAGAGTCTTATCCAACCAGTATTTTATTTCCCACAGGGATCAACCAACTGTTTTGAATCTGGAAATTCTATTTAGGTTCTAATTTGATATCCCTGTAATTACTCATTTCTAGTAATGAGGCTAACCCTTAACTTATGCCAAACCTCAGCCAGGTTAAATTCTCATTTATTTTGTATCACATGCAGTGTATCTGAATTACTTTATATAACCATCTTTTTTTTGCATTTGGTTAGTTTTATTATTGTACAAAAGTAAGATATCAAAAATAGAGACATAAAATGTAAGATTATAGTGTAATAAAAATACGTTGTAAAAAGAATGTATTTTTCCCAACCATTCTGCTATTTATACTTTGCTTTAAAGTTTTACAGTTATTGCTTATATCTATTAAAGTGATTTTTATGCTGTTTTTTAAAATAAATTTCTTTCATTTTTTTCAAAACCATATTCTGAATGTGTCAACTTGCCTTGCTATGTAAGATGTTGTATGAAAGGACCTATGCTTGCTTGGTTTTAGTTAGACTTCTGTTATATATTTTTCTCCATTGGTGTATATTGTCCCATTTGGGTCTGTCAATCTTGTATCAATGGCAAGATTTCTTTCTTTTTTTAAAAAATAACACCATCTAAGCAAGTGACCAATACTATATTCTGCAAATTTCAGACAGGATTATTAGTAAGGAAACCTGGTTTAAATTATCCTCTCCAATCGTATATCCTATGGAAGTTTGCTTATTTGAAGTTCCCCGAATTCCTGGTGAACCTGAATAATAAAATATGGGGGTTATTACTCCAAGATGTCTTCTACTACTTACCTATCCATCTGAATAGTAATTTTCCAGCTTTCAGATATGAGTGATAAAATTCAGAAAAGCCTCAAATGCTTCTTCATTTTTTACCTTTAATTAAGGTTTTAGCTTTTCACCCCTAATGAAATGAAATATTAAGCCATCCTGCACAGTGGGAGGGGGAGGAAGGTCTCTATGACTCATAATTAGAAATCCATGTGGATTTAAGGAGGAGTGTTGGCTGTCTTAAGAGAGTAGCAGATTGGCTAACTTTCTCACCCGCCCCAGCCTCCAACCCAATTTCTCCATATTTGATTCTCTACATCAGCCTCAATGAAAAACGGTTAAAGCAAAATTAGGAAACTTGTATGTGGCATTAAACATTCAGTTAACATCTACAGCTGGAGTCTCCAAACTTGTGAACTTCAGGGCATCTTTCATTGCTCCTGTAGTTATTCATAGTTTCCTGCTAGAACATAGGGATCCAATGCAGAAGATTCCACATTCAAACTTTGCCGGAGGTTCTGGAAGGCTAGTAAAGACCAGTTTCCTTTCTTACCTCCTCTGTGGAAAAGACTCCCCATGCAATAAATTAGACTGGAACAGAATTTGATATTGATAAGGGTTTGCAACCAGATTCCCATTTTCTCAGTACATTTCATCTGTCTAATAATATTGCTATATGCCAGCCTGAAAAATTTCTAGCATACTTTCTAGGGTTGTGTCTAGTTGGGTCATGGTGATGCCACGGTACTTATAATTTGTTCCTTGGCATTCCTTGTGGGGTTTTTTTAACCTTTGATTCATTGTTGACTCCTGGTGATTGCCTGGAGCAGTTTTGATGGCAATGTGAAGGGTTTTTTTTTTTCCCAGAAGTGGTTTGCCATTGTCTGCTTCCTAGGGCTGAGAGAAGGTGGTTGGCCCAAAGCTATTCAACTGACTTGGTGCCTAAGGCAGGCTAGAATTCACAGTTACTCGTTTTCTGGTGCTTTAACCACTATACCAAACTGGCTCTTGTTCATTTAGGTATTTAAAACAAATGGGAAGCTGGGCTATGACCAACTGCTAGCTTCAAGCTTATGGGAAGAAAATGGTGCCTAAGTCCAGTACTTTGTTTGGAAGTGCACTCATCTGCCCACAAATTAGTGAAAAGTAACCTAATGGAGTAAAGAACTTTTGAGGAAGCTAGATGAGATGGTGTGAAACGCCATCAAAAGTCAGACTGCTGTCAAATGGATTTTGTTTGACTTGTCATGCCCTCCATGGCAGCCATTTTGTGAATTTGTGAAGGTCTCTCTTGACTCAAAAAAGTTGCCTGAAACCACTAGGAAAATAGATATTACAGGCAGTCCTTGACTTACGAACATAGTTGACCCCAAAGTTTTTGTTGCTAAGTGAGACCGATGTTAAGTGAATTTTGCCCCATTGTACGACCTTTCTTTTCACCAATGTTAAGGGAATCACTGCACTTGTTAGGTTAGTAACACAATTGTTAAGTGAATCTGGCTTCTCCATTGACTTTGCTTGTCAGAAGGTTGCAAAAGGTAATTACATGATCCCAGGATACTGTAACCGTCATAACTATGAACCAGTTGCCAAGTGTACTGACCCAGGCTTCATCAAACGGAATTAATATAAAACTTGTTGTAAAAGCAAGACCTATTTTATTGCAATGCTGGGAATTACTTTCATTCCCAGCCAGAATTAATTATAAACAGTTCCCCAAGATAAGCATACTCCTTTCAGTGCTGTGGAATGCTGCCAAAAACAGAAGTATCCAATTAATTATAACAGAAACCAACCAAAGTACCAGAAAAAACCAACCAGAGTACAAGAAGCTTCAAGGAAGACTCGGAGTCTATCGAACTATTTTGCTTCCTGCAAAGCTTTCGTCATTGAGGTCTGACTTTTATCCCTTATGGGAGGGGCAGTTACCTCCCAGCTTTACTCCCGAGTCTCCTCTTCAGCTTCAGTTGCTCTCGCCTTCTAGCAGCTCTGCACACACACACACTGGGAACAGGCTCCCCTGGGTCCTCTGCCTCACTGCTGCCAGACTCTGAAGGCTCCAAAGGCAGCACCCCATTCCCAAATGGTCCTGGCCCCATGCCTGCATCGGATGTAAGAACCTCCGAGTTCTCTCCAAACTCCCTGACTGGTCCCCTTTCTTCCCCACTGTCTGACTCCAGTGCTGGCTGCCGGCGAACCACAATACCAAGCATCCAAATTCTGATCATGTCACCATGAGGATGCTACAATGGTTGTAAGTGCGAAAAAGGTCCTAAGTCCCTTTTTTCAGTGCCATTGTAACTTAGAACGGTCATTAAATGTGTCAAAGACTACCTATACAGTAAACATTAACCAGAATTTTAAGGATGAATTGCTGATTTATGATCGCTTTATTGAGAATCTGTAAGCCTTCCCCACAACTAGAACCCGAACAATGGAGAAAGAGAATTTATAAATGAACAAATTAAAGAACAAGTTTTGTTTGATATGATGAACCTTTATCTATATCTAACACAACTGTTCCTTCCTTAACTTAGCTTTAATCTTTTCAAGAAAACAGGTATCAGCTTTTATCTAAAGGATGTTAAAGTGTCTGCTGATTTTCTGATGTATTAATAATTTGTGATCAGAGCTGTGACAGGAATAATTATTTTGTCTGAACTGTAAGCATTTCATGTTGTTTGAACAACTTGAAGGAAGAGAATGAGTCGTAACTTTAACTAGAAGCACTCTTCAAAGATCTGAATCTTTATGGAAGAGATGCTTTGAACCTTTGGTTTCACAATAGGGCTGGACTGCATCATAGTATTTATAGTATGGGATGAACTCAAATATTTGATTCCGTTCAAAAATTAAGTTTGCGCTGCTTGAATCTTCAGCTCAAATATTCCTACAGCCGTAGAAGGATATAAAATATTCATTATCTGTCTTACACTAGCTGAAGCCAAGGAGAAAAGATTACAAATAAGGGCATGAGGAATCAATAATTTGGAAACATTTGTTTTTGGAAAACCTCATTTTTATCTTGATTATCCTCCTGCCAGTATAAAAAGAGTGCTTCCCTACAAAATGGACAGAGAATCACCTTATTGGTTCACTTAATAAACAAGCAATTCCTATAGACACCCAGTTCTCCACTCATTGTGAATGTTTACGGTGCCTGTGTCATGCCGGTAAAATGTTAATATGATTCTCTGGCGCTCTAGGCTCCTGTTAACGGAAAAAAAACATTAAAATGTGCATAATTACAGGGCAAAATGTCAAGTAGTCAGTTTAATTTACTGATGAATACAGAGAATTAATGTTTTGCAACAGTTCCAAGATTGCAAATTATGAATTAGTGAAAAGGTAATATTTGGTTTTGCTGACATTTTTGAGGCTGTTTGATTACCACTTGCCACATCCATTTGGTTTGTGTTTTTTTTTTCCCCCCTCGCCTGCAGGTGGATTTTGCCTTTACTGTCTGGCAGAGTTTCCCAGAGAGGATTGTGGGTTATCCTGCCCGCAGCCATTTTTGGGATAACACGAAGGAGAGGTGGGGCTACACATCGAAATGGACGAATGACTATTCCATGGTATTGAGTGGAGCTGCTATTTACCACAAGTAAGACTATTAGGGGTATTTAAAGCCTGTTTTAAGGGGGTGAGAGAAAGAATAGGATAGGACAGGACAGGATCTTGGAGGTCTTTTATCTGGTCCATCCCCCTGCTCAAACAGGAGAACCTATGCCATTTCAGACAAGTGATTGTCAAGCCTCTTCTTAAACACCTCCAGTGATGGAGGGGCCATGATTTCTGGAAGCAAGTTGTTCCACTGGTTAATTGTCCTCACTGTTAGGAAGTTTCTCCTTAATTCCAGATTGCTTCTTTCTCTGATTAGTTTCCAACCACTGTTTCTTGTCCTGCCCTCCGGTGCTTTGGAAAATAAAGTTCAGCTATATTCTTATATTTATCTAGAGTATTTATTTGCTGGAATTTTAAAAAAATCCATCTATTCTGTATTGAGTTAAATCATAGTCCCACAACAATCCTGGTACTTTTTGCTACTTTTTTTTTTTTCGTTTTCATTTTCCCTTAATTTTTGTTTTGCAAAGCAGGTTTTGTTAAAACATCAAGGGTGATTCCTAAAGGATTAAAATTTGAGTCTCTCTTCTGCAGATAATGACTTTGATTCCTGGTTTTGAGATCTGATAGTCATTAGTGTGTTTTTCTCAATTTCTTTCAAGTCACTTGTACTCTAAAAAAAGCAATTTGATTTGAACGCTGTCTCTTAAGGGCAATAGCAGACTTCAAAAAACTCCTAAAGTCTTCAAAGGGATTCTGCCACGATTTTCTTTGGCATCAAGGGAGAATGAACATGTCCTAAGCAAGCTGAGGCTTAGGTTGGCTGCCCATCTTAATTCAGCCGAATTGTACGTTGGCATGAAGTTTATAATTCATCTTGATTTGTGAGCCTGTGTTTGCTTGTTGGGGTCATAAGGGAGAGAAAAGCAAAGAAAAGCCTCTCTCTCTTTTTCTGCAGAAAAGTGGTTGACATTGTTTTTTTCCCCCTCCTTTGAAAAATGAAAAATGTATCACTGCAAAGGAATGGTCATCTGGTTTCCTTAGGGTGATGGTCAAACAATCCTATTCTGACTAATCAAAAAGTTTAACTTCCCTTCTACAGTCCGCCATTGCAACTCTTCTTCAGATTTCTTAGAATGAGTGGTGGATTTCCACAAACAGCTAAATAAGCTTAACAAAAGTAAATGTGTGTAAATGTACTTTATTTACATAAAGTGCCCCACTATGTCAGTACGTCTTGTTTCTCAAGTTTTTCAAGAATTTTTGAATTCTGGAGTTCCCTTGTCGTCGGAAATTGATATAATCAATAATTCATTTTTAAACACTTTTTTTTTTTAACCCGGAGCATATTGACTTAGTACCAAAGTTCCTGTCACCTCCAACCAAGCTGATATAGTCCCGAGTAAGCAGATCATTGCTCATTTGTGCAACATCTGTCCTCTCTCTGCATTTGGACTCCCTTCCTCTCTATTTAAGGGCTATAGGTTGCCCATTTCTGTTTTAGAGACTTCTTCTGCGGATCATTCCCTGGATTGTTGATGGGCATGTATGGAATTAGAGGAACATTTCATAGACACTCCAACAAGTGGCTGCTTGGCCATTTCAAACTGGGCACGGGAGGTTGAATAAAATGTAAAGTATGGATTTGACCTGCTCTATGGTACCCATCCTGAATTGCTGCATCCTCAAGATGCTCCTTTCTACCCCAGCATGCCCTTGTCTTTGGGGAAGGCAGGTGAAAACATGCAAATCCAAGACCTGGTCTCCCCGTGTTTATTTTGTAAAAGACATCTGAGACCCATTTAAGACCCAGTGGCACTCTTGGAAATACTGATTATGCTGGAGGGTAATTACTTGGCTTTGCATCATGCCCCCTTTTCGATAACTTTAATTAAAATATGTAAGAAATGTTAAAAAGTCAAATGGAAGAGGGAGTCTGGCAAGTCCCGCAGAAGATACCTTCAGGCACTGCTAGGATTACATAAGTATAGATCTTCTGCTTCTAGCTTGAAGGGGGGAAATCACAACTTAGAATTATGGAGCTGGAAGGGACCTTGGAGGTCTTCTAGTCTGCCCCCCTGCCCAGGGCAGGGGTCCTTATACTAATCCAGACAAATGATTGCCCAATCTTTTCTTGAAAACCTCCAGCAATGAAGCACTCGGGGAAGCAAGCTGTTCCACTGATTAATCATTATCACTGTCAAGAAATTCCTCCTTATTTCCAGGTTGCATCTCCCTCTGACAAGCTTCCATCCATTGCTTCTTGTTCTGCCCTTGGGTGCTATGAAGAATAAATTGATGCCCCATTCCCTGTGACAGCTCTTCAAATATTGGAAGATTTTTATCATGTCTCCCCTAAACCTTCTCTTCATTAGACTAAACATGCCTAGTTCTCTTAGCCATTCGTCATACAATTTAGCCTCCAGAATCCCTTATCATCTTGGTTGCTCTTCTCTGCACTATTTCTAGGGCTTCAGCATCTTTTCTTGTTTTGTATTGTGGTGAGCAGAACTGGACACAGTATTAGTATACTTGTTGAAAAAAGCCCCAGCCTGCAGTGCATAAGTTATACACAGTTTGTCGTCTCCACTGTTGCCTGAATTTCTGGGAATAGCCAACACTTTTGCTGAATGTACTTACAATCAGTACTAAGGTGTGTTCTGACCCAAGCCTCATTGAAATCAAATAAACACAAAATATATATAAAAGCAAACCTTTTTAATGCATCTCTGTGAATTCTGTTCATTCACAGCAAAGAGTCATTAAAACTAATTGTCCCAGATAAGAACAAGCCCTTTCAAGGTCATGAAAGGCTGCCAAGAATACAAGATTAACTGCAGAGAAATATTCCAAACTAAAAATCTCCAAACACGAACTAGAACAGACAGGACTTCCATGAGAACTTTGAGTTGAAAGAACTTCCTTGCTTCCTGCAAAGAAGCCAACCCCGAAGGCTGGCTTTTATCCCTTATGAGAGGAGCCATCACCTTGCAGCCTTACCCGCAAGTCACCCGTGCTGCTTCAGCTGCTCTTTCCTTCGAGCAGCCCTGTACACTGAATACAGGCACCCTGGGGTCCTCTTTGTCCCTACTGCCAGACTCCACAAGCTCACTCTCCGATAATCCTGGCCCCATCCCTGCATCACATGTGGGCCCCTCATCCAAGTCTTCGCTCTCAGAGACCTCAGCCGTCCGCACCTGCTGCCGGCGAACCACAACGTGACAGCTCCCTACATTTCTAAATCTGTTGCAACTTTATAGTTCCTGGATTCATTTTGAAAAGCCATTCAAACCAATTTGGTGACTAATACCAGTAGAAAGTTCCACTGAAGTTCTGGTGGCTTATTCCAAGTAAATGTGTATTGGATGACATACAGATACAGATAATCAGAGTTGGAAGGGACCTTGTAGGTCATCTAGTCCAACCCCCTACCCAAGCAGGAGGCCCTACACCATTTCTGACAAATGGTAGTCCAATCTCTTCTTGAAAGTCTCAACTGATGGTGCTCCCACAACTTCCAAGGGCAAGCTGTTCCAATGGTTGATTGTTCTCACTGTCAGAAAGTTTCTCCTTGTTTCCTTGTTTGTGACATTGCCAGATGCTCACTGAAGGCCCTCAATTATTGTGTTGTAGATATTATCACTACCTGTACACTCATTACCTGCCTGCTAGTCTGAAGAACGTGGTGGACCAACTAGCCAATTGTGAAGACATTTTAATGAACTTTTTGGTGTCCGCTGTGACAAAATTGCCTCCCATCAAAGTAACACAGAAGAAACAGTACAAGGAAACCATGATGGGACAGGTATGTGCAGAAGGTCTGCTTTAACCTTTTTGGAACGGGTTTGTATATATGATTTTAGGGGTTATCATAACTTTGATGTCACTGGTTGCAAGTCAAGGATTACCATATCTGCAATTCTCATAACAGTCAATAAAACTATCCTGAAAAAAAATCATACTTCCTGAAAAATCACATATTCTTAGGAGCACACATCTTTCTGGAAGTTGGATCATCTATAAATAAGCCCACAAAAATATAATGTCCACAAACAATCTTAGGGTACCTGCCGGAATCCCAACTAATATATTTGGACACCAGAATCTAAAGGGTTGCCAAAGAGCCCTATTACTAGATGTACGGCACCTATTCTTAATCTGTACTAATGGGAGTTCACTTATAAATCTACAATAAAGCACTATTTCCCAAAGGTGCTTTTTCAAGAAGCAACTGGACTTCCTTGTTTTTCTTTGAAGACGTTTCGCTTCCAGGAAGCTTCTTCAGCTGTGACTGGATGGAGGGAAAATGGAAGGATTTCATTCCTTCATAATTCATAATCCTTCCATTCCGCTCCATTCAGTCAGAGCTGAAGAAGCTTCTTTGAAATGTCTTCAAAGGAAAATAAGTCCAGTTTCCTCTTGAAAAAGAACCTTTGGGACAACTATGACCTGGAAGACTGAGAATCTCTATAAACATACAGCGCTCTGTCTTTTTAAAAATGTTATAAAAATCCTGCAAGTGAGTGGATATAATAAACAAAACTTGGAGTTATTCAAAAATAGCCTGCCATCATGATCTGAAAGGAGAAATGTGCTCAAATGATGCTGCAACAGATGTGGGTTTTCTATTTTCGAAATAATTACTTACAGTCAGTTTTTGTGAGAACGTGCAGGGGGAAAAGCGTCAGATTTTTTCTCTCTGCCCCATTAGGATGCTTATGTTAATTTGGGGAGTGAGGTGCATGGTCTATTGTTAATGACCATTTTTCCATTTTGGCTTAAATTTAAAAGCCTATGGCAGGGGCCTTCAAACTTGACAGCTTTAAGGCTTGTGGACTTCAACTCCCAGAATTCCTCCTCCAGTCATGTTAGCTTGGGAATTCTGGGAATTGAAGTCCACAAATCTTAAAGTTGCCAAATTTGAAGACCCTTGGTCTGTGGATGTTTTCAGTCATCCAAGTCGTGGTTGTCCCAAAGGTGCTTTTTTCAAGAGGCAAGTTTCTTGGATGAGAAGCTAAAAGTCTTCAAAGAAAAACCAGAATGTCCAGTTGCCTCTTGAAAAAAGCACCTTTGGGACCTAAATTTAAGAATTCTCCCTGCAGATGCCATACATCTGAAAAGCTAGCCAATTACAATAATTAGGATGTTTGCTTGAGAATGGGGTAAGTTCAGCTAGAATTATTATGTTTTTATTACTTTTCTGGTACTTCTTTTGAGATGGTGGAAATTTGCTGGTGAAATTGTTCTTTAACGGCCATTTCTATAAAAGTTTATCAAGTCTAATTCTTAGTTGTCTTACTCTATAACTTCAAGCCACCGTTGGAATTATACTAAAGATAAGGCCTTGTAGGTTTCACTCTTGATCATTCATCTAGTCCAGTCTGAAGCAGGCAAACTGAGGCCTCTTTTTAAAATTTAAATTGTAATTAATCTGAGACATGAAAATAATTCAGAGTTGCAGTTTGAAGTCAGTTTGTTACTACTAACCCTGGTAAGTAGAATGATGAGGTCTCCTTGCTGTCACAGGGGAGAACAAAACCGTAGTTCACAAGCCAAAAGTAGTCAATTCAGATTTTGCTAATCCAGATCTCCAAGAATTCCTAGGAAATAAGGCAAGACGGAGCAGGAAGTTGTAGTTCAGAAACATCCGGTAACCGTTATTGTCTGTGTTTAACCCAAACTGACTAGACAGATCTCGCTTGGCAAACAGAATGGAGCCCAGATTTGCATTGTAAATCATTCAGAGTGACTGTACTCAATGTTTGTTTTCACATTGGCTGCAAAGCATGTCACTGTGGCCATTAAGCAAATCACATGGTTATTAAGCAAAAACATTCTCCCCAAAATCAGCAATTTTTTTTTAACAAAATCACAATCGCACAACGCTGGGACACTGCAACTGGTTGTAAATGCAAGTTTGACTGCTAAATACCTAAAACACAATCGCATGACCATGGTGGGGTTTGCAATTTCAAGGACAGGTCATAACTTGGAATGGTCATTCAATAACCAGTTAAGTGAGGACTGCCTGTAATTCATCCTGATCATGCTGCATTGTGATTTAGAATTATTTATTAAACATGTATGCAACTTGGGTGACTCCCAAGTAAAAACATTAAAGACTAGGAAAAACAAAAATAAAAGAGTACAGGTACTTCTCATGTTACGACTACAATTGAGCCCAAAATTTCCGTTATGAGCCGCGGTGGCGCAGTGGTTAGAGTGTAGTACTGCAGGCTACTTCTGCTAACTGTCTGCAGTTTGGCAGTTCAAATCTCACCGGCTCCAGGTTGACTCAGCCTTCCATCCTTCTGAGGTCGGTAAAATGAGGACCCAGATTATTGGGGTCAATAGGCTGACTCTGTAAACTGCTTAGGGAGGGCTGTAAAAGCATTGTAAAGCAGTATATAAGTCTAAATGCTATTGCTGTTACTAAATATTAATTTAGTTTTGCCTCATTTATCACCTTTCCTGCCACCGTTGTTGAGTAAACTGCTCCAGTTATTAAGTTAGGTTATTAAGTGAATCTGGCTTCCCCATTGACTTTGCTTGACAGAACATCACGAAAGGTGAACGGGCAACCCCGGGACACTTCAACCGTCATAAATACATGCCATAATTTTGATGGTGACCATGGGGAAGCTACAAAGCAGAGGTGGTATTCAGCAGATTCTGACCGGTTCTGGAGAACCAGTAGTGGAAATTATGAGTAGTTCGAATACCACCTCTGGATGGCACCCCTCCATCTATTCTTTGCCTCCCGAGTCCCAGCTGATTGGCTGGGTCTTCTTTTGTTGCCCTGCACAGGAAAACGGACCTGGAAAGCAGGTTAGTGGGGTGGGGAGGAAATGGGGATTTTACAGTATCTTTCCCCTGCCACGCCCACCAAGTCACGCATACAGAACTGGTAGTAAAAAAAAATTTGAATGCCACCACTGCTGCAAAGGTTGTAAGTCACTTACATGAGTCACTGTTTTCAGTGCCATTGTAACTTCAAAATGGTTACTAAACGAATGGTTGTAAGTTAAGGACTACCTGACAGGAATGAAAAAGGAAAAACCCATGCAATTATTTGCGAAAATCCTGGATGAAGAACTTCAAAACATAAGGAGGAGGTGGGGAGGCATCTGGATCTGGGGAAGGGGGAAGGCCTCTTTTCAGAGGGCAGGCCAGTGGTGGGATTCAGAATTTTTTACTACTGGTTCTGTGGGCGTGGCTTTGTGGACATGGCAGGGGAAGGTTACTGCAAAATCCCCATTCCCTCCCCACGCCACTAACCTGCTTTCCAGCTCTGTTCTCCTGTGCAGGGCAACAAAAGAAGACCCAGCCAATCAGCTGGGACTCGGGAGGCAGAGAATAGATAGGGGTGGGGCCAGTCAGAGGTGGTATTTGCCAGTTCTCCGAACTACTCAAAATTTCCGCTACTGGTTCTCCAGAACTGCTCAGAACCTGCTGAATGCCACCTCTGGGGCAGGCATTGCTATAGAGAAGGCCGGCGGAGATCACAATGGTCGGCATTGTTTAATTAAAGGAATCCGTAGTGTACCAACCCTACTAGATGAAACCAGCCCGACAGATATTACGGAATCATATGCAAATGCTCTTACTAATTCCACACTTTAGATATAAATAGAAAGCACATATGTTGTTCTGAGAGTGAAAAGGAAATAAAACTATTAATGGAAGAAGGCTCCAATGAAGTAACCTCCCATGTTGCTGGCACAGGAAGCATACCAGTTAATCTGATCATCTTCTAAACAAGCGACCATTTGTCATTTGTTCTGTGTGTTATCGGGGAACCCCAAAAAAACTCATCTCAGCATCTCATTCTATTCCTTCTAACAGAGCACTAATAAATTCATGCAGCATTTCTCAACCTCAGCAACTTCAAGATGTGTGACTTCAATTCCCAGAATTCCCCAGTTGCTGAAGTTGAGGAAAACTGAATGAAGATGCTAAATCATCTCTACGTTCTCCTTCTCCCTAACCCCACTGACTCAGATGATGTAATTATTGACAGTCCACATATAAAAGATCTCTGTGTATTTCCTGGTTTATGTTTTCAAACATGGAGGAATGGAAGGATTTCAAAATTCAACAATCCCACTGTCTAGAGTTGTGAGACATCTGAGGGAAAGATCCAGAATACAGCCAGTCCTCAAATTATGACCACATTTGAGCCCAAAATTTATGTCGCTAAATGAGAAATTTGTTAAGGGAGCTTTGCCCTATTGTATGACTTTTCTTGCCACGTTTGTTAAGTGAATCATTGCAATTGTTAAATTAATTAACATTAATGTAATTAGTTAAATTAATTGAATTAGTAACATGGTTGTTCGATAAATCTGATTTCCCCGTTGTCTTCGCTTATCAGAAGGTTGCAAAAGGTGATCACCTTTTGGACTTTCAACCATCATAAATATGAGTCAGTTGCCAAGCAACCAAATGTTGATCATGTGACCATGGGGTTGCTACAACGGTCATAATAGCAATAGCGCTTAGACTTATATACCACTTTATAGTGCTTTACATCTGTCTCTAAGCGGTTTACAGAGTCAGCATATTGCCCCCAATAACTTGGGTCCTCATTTTATCCACCTCGGAAGGATAGAAGGCTGAGTCATCCTGGAGCCTGGTGGGATTTGAATTGCCAAATTGTAGGGCAGCTGGCTGCAGAAGTAGCCTTCAATACTGCACTCTAACCACTGTGCCACAGAGGCTCATGAATGGCCATAAGTCACTTTTTCAGTGCCGTTGTAAGTTCAAACAGCCACTAAATGAACTATTGTAAATCAACTATCTGTAATTGGAAGAGTGATTTTTTTTTAAAGTTTTTTTCCTGTGGTTGTTTTTCCTTTTTTTCCCTCTAACCCAGGGGTATCAAATTGAAGGCCCAGAGGCCGGATCCAGCCCATGGGTTGCTTAGATCTGGCCCACGGGACTGCCCTGGAAAAAGCAAAGAACAGTCCCATAGTGCCTCTGCCAGCAAAAATGGAGCTCCGTTTTCGCTGGCAGAGGGTTGCAGGAGACCGTCACAGCTGAAAATGGAGCTCGGGAGCCCATTTCCACTGGCAGAGCACTTGGGCCATCACAAGTGCCCGCAACATGAGTGCTGTTGACCTGACCACGCCCATCCCAGCCCCCCGAGGTCAAACATAACCCTGATGCGGCCTTCCATGAAATTGAGTTTAATACCCCTGCTCTAACCCTTCATACGTGAAGATTAGCTATAGCTTCATTAAAGCTCTAACCCTGGGACTGGTGTCATCTAATACAGTGGTCACCAACCAGTGGACTGCAGCCCACTGGAGGTCCGCGAGAAAATTTTGGTGGTCCACAGAGAAATGTCACCCGCAGAGCAATTAATCCAAGCTGCGCGGGAACACAAGGCTGCACCACCCACATGGCCCACGGGAACCCTCCCCGCACACTCACTCCTTACCTGACAAACTTGCCTGCTAAGTTGCTATTTTTCCTTTTTTCTGAACATCAGCTGTTCTGCTGTGCCGGGAGATTTAGATTAGCTAGAAAGCAGGAAATTGGATTTCTTGCTTTCTAACTAATCTTTAGATCTTCGGCTCTGTTTTTAAGCAGCGCCAAACCTTCCTTTAGACTGAAGCTTCTATTATTACGTGCAGGTAGCTGATGGCAGAATCATTGATCTCTAAGTGAATCTGTGATTCTGTAAGCAACTCAATCTGCCTACCTGCTTTGCCTGATTTTGGGTAAAAGTTGCTCTCTCTTTTTATAAAAAAAATCAATATTTACATAAATATTTACAATATTTACATACAAGCCATGCCCAGCCAGTCACATGACCACCAAGCCACACCCACAAATTAGGCCCCGCCCAAGAACTGGTGGTTAAGAAATTTGAATCCCACTCCTGCCTCTGTATGTGTGTGTGTTTGAGAGAGAGAGAGAGACTCCCACCAACGTCAGCAAGCCACCGACAGTCAAGATTCATATTAGTGGTCCCCAGGATTTAAAATTATGACTTTGGTGGTCCCTGAAGTCCAAAAGTTTGGCGACCCCTGATCTAACACACACTGACTTGATTTAGCTTAAGTGTGATTTGTGAATACAACCACTGTGGGTTGGTGAGCTGTTTCACTCTCTGTTTTAGTCTATTCTGGCTTCTGGCATGGTTAAAGAAAACCGTGGTTTATCATGATGTTAACCCAGACTGTGAGGGAAACAATAACAGAAGGATCATCCATTATCCAGAATTCAATAGGATTTGGCTTGTTCCCCAATCCCTGAATTTCACAGTTACCTTTCTAACATTTTATGCTCCTAAAACAGAGTTCAAGCTAGCAAGAGAACCACATTGTTTGGTTTGTGTTCCAGGTATCTAATCCCTCAGAAATGAGGATTTATAACTTCTAATTTCAGAAGCTTTCTGCTCACCCAAGGCAAGCAAGCAACAATTTCCCACTGAGCCATTGATTCCAAAGATTCAAATCAAGCAATTTTTCACTGTCCTGAAGCTAAGCACAGACAATGTGCATGTCAGCAAAACAGGATCAGTTTTATTACTGCCAATATAATGCTGCAAACTAAATGCAGATCCAATGCTCAGTGGTAAAATGGATACAATCTGGAATCTCTTTGGATGATAGAAGTTTTTGCATTTTTAGGAGGACAAAAGTCTTAGTGGAGAGGGCTCTGCCTCACACAAATGAGGAAGGAAGACATTTTGTGTTTCTTCTTAGAAGGACCAAGATTTCTTAGGATATTATTTTGTTAATGATCTTCATTCAGAGAGATTTTAGAGAGCTGTAGTGGCACAGTGGTTAGAATGCAGCATTGCAGGCTAATTCTGGCAACTGCCAGTAGTTCGATCCTCACCAGCTCAAGGTTGACTCAGCCTTCCATACTTTCGAGGTCGGTAAAATGAGGACCCAGATTGTTGGGGTCAATATGCTGACTGTAAATGTCTGAGGGAGGGCTGTAAAGCACTATGAAGCAGCATATAAATCTAAGTGCTATTGCTATTTAGAACTCACTTTTTTTTGTTTCCTGCCCCCAAAAGGCAAACAATTGTTCTAGTAACAATGGTGATTGAAGAAATTTCAAAGACACGGTTCTGGGTTTATATTTAGTCTGGGCTGTTAACGTTTTTCACCTGCTTAGATGAGAAAGGCACAGAGACAAGACTATAATGATTAATTTCTGCCTGTTATTCATCCTCCATTCCCAACTATCATACTTGACCAGTAACTCTACAGACTGTGGTAGCCCTAAATATGTGTTTTCTTACAAGAAGCATTTCCTCTGTTTGAGATTTTAAAGTAGAATACAGACAGTCAAAGTTATACCAGCACTGAAAATGTGACTTACTATTATTTTTCACTCTTAACAACCATTGAAGCATCCCCATGGTCACATGATCAAAATTTGGATGCTTGGCAACTTATGGCAGTTGCAGTTTTCACAAGATTAAAAAGTAAACGTTCCTCCTTTTCCCCAAGTCATTAGTCACATTGTCCAAAAGAGGTGCTGGCTGGTTTCTTGGTTACTCCACTCCTCCTCTCCCCAGGCACCTATTGGAACGTCCTTAGTTCCCACAGGAAAACTTTTAGTTTTGATTACAAGCCCCCAGCTATCTATCTCCCCACTCCCTGTTCCTTCTTTTTCCATGTGGCAACCCTGAAGCCTCAAAATGGCCTCAGTCAGGTTTGCTTCAGGGTTGACACAAATTGTTTAATCAGTCCAGCAGTTCAGTGCTATTCTAAAACATAATTTCCTTGGACCTCTCCCTCATTCTGCTTCTCTCTTGTGTGTGTTTTGGGGGCAGGGAAGATTATAAAACTGAGGTAGGGACACTCTGGTTCTTCATAGTTCTAAAAAAATTTCCAGGTGAAAAAATGGACTATAAAAACTTTTGAAGAATGAACTGGCTTGTTTGTGTTTTGTTACAGACTTCCAGAGCTTCTCGGTGGGCTGATCCAGATCATTTTGCTCAGAGGCAAAGCTGCATGAACACTTTTGCCAGCTGGTTTGGCTATATGCCGCTGATCCATTCTCAGATGAGGCTCGATCCCGTGCTCTTTAAAGATCAGGTCTCCATCCTGAGGAAGAAATATCGCGACATTGAACGACTTTGAGGAGCCCAGCTGAGGGGTGGGTGGGAGTGAGAACTGAATAGTTCCCCTAGCCCAGCGCAGAGCCACACACACATCCTCGAGTCAGACCGCACCAAGAGCAACTCAACCCAAAAAAAATTGCAACATGCCAATGTAGTAGCCAAGTAGCTCTGGACCCAAAGGGAAGTTGGGATTGCGCTGGACTGCTTTGAAACACCCCTCAACAGGCTGCAAGGTCCCTCAAGACTAGGTTGTGTACAGTTTCATTATGGAACATTAAATAATTATTTTTTGAAATGATTGCTATGCAGGTTTAAACTTTTTTAATGATAAAAAAATCCCTATTAAAACAGAGTTCTTTCTTTAATCAAAATTGTGTTGGTTGTTGTGACTCTTTCAAAGAAGCTATGTTTTCTATATCATATTCCCATAAAAATGTGATCCGAGGCAGTCTTGGAGGCAATATGTTGTTCTTTTAAGAGAAGGTAGTTGTGTCTTTTTATTGAAAATGGGACCAACATAAAAGACATGCAAAGCACATTCAAAAATGCAAAACGTGAGGGGAAAACACCAGCGCTTGAGGTTTGCTCCAAAGGCCCCAAGATAGAAATATGTTCCAGTCCACCTCAAGTCACATTTCCTTGATCTTTTTCCATCTTCCATACAATTTCAGGGCAGTGAAAAAAAGGAGGGGTCATTTTTCCCCATTACCTGCCATGGAAGAGCCCAAAGAAGAAGTCACTACTACTCCAGTACAAGGATTGGGATCTCTTTTCTTTAAAATTTAGAATAAAACGTTTGGAAAGGGCTTGGAAAAGTGGGGATTGCTAGAATTCCCCTGGTTCCTTCTGGCTATTCCCCAGCGCCACACTGAACAACAGCTGAAGGCCTGATAGTTTCTCTTGAGTTCGAGAAATTTCCCTCCTGTTTAATTTTCCTTGTTTTGAGATAGTGCCATGAAGAAATGAAATGTCCAATGAGAGCCATGGGTACCAATCACCTGTGGGCTCCTGCACTATGTGTTTTGATATTGATTTAAACAACCAAGCCTCCCTCAAGTCAATATCTTTTCTTGATGGCTTCATGAAAGTACCTGGGACATTTTTCTAGCAATAATATGAATGTGACTTGCCTATCCTTTCATGAATAGTTCTGATTTCCATTGTAATTTTAATCCCTAAAATTTACTGGATGTCTCCGGACCAAATACTGATCAAGTTTGGCCTTTCCAACTTTTGAGGATCAGCCAAGATCAGCTAGGTGCTGCCATCTCTCTGAAGAGCATGTTCTGTCTACCTGCAGCTGTTCTCAGTCAGGGGAGGGATTCTACCAGTTATGCCCGGTTTAGGAGAACCATTAGCTTCGAAGATCATCTGGGAGCGAACCGGTTTGCTCCGATAATCCGCTGCTGGACCCACCCTCCTGCCCTGGCTCCATAATGACCTTTATTTCTGCTTTTGACACTCAGCTGCATCGCACGGCACAGTGGATTGCTGTGCATCAGCTGTTGAAGAGAACGGGAGAGTGCAGGGGAAGGTCAGTAGGAAAGCCTACGCGCACATACAAAGTGGGCGCAGATTGGACGTGTTTTGCACGTGCATGCGCACTTTGTGTACGTGCATAGGCTTTCCTACTGATCTGCACTCCCACCAAGCTACGCCCACCAACCCTCCTGCACGCCTGTCAAGCCACGCCCACCGAACCAGTGGTAAACCAATTTGAATCCCACCACTGTTCTAAGTGGACAGGTTATGATGTGTGAATCCATCAAAGAGAAACTGCAGATAAAGGAAAGTAGAATTTCCCTCAATTTCTGGCATAAGAACAATCTACTGTCAAATGTTCCCCCTCTCCAAGCTTTGAAGTGTTTACTCAAAACTGCCCTGAAGGAATTAAGAAGGTGTAAGTAGAATTGAGAAGAGACATCACATATTTTCAAAATTACACAAACCCTGTTAGCTTCTTAACCCTGACTTTTGCATTGGAAACACTTCAGCTTTTAAAATTTTGAGTTGCAAAGTTTCCCCCAGGGTCTAATGGGAGCTATTTAGGTCTTCTCCAGAAGAGCCATGAATCCAGTATGATGATGATGATGATAATCAATTGCATTCATCATTCTCTTCTGGAAAAAAAGCACAGAGCTATGCTTGTAAAATCTTCCTTAATGCATGGGGCATATCCCTAAGAAGGAGTAAATTATCGGGATATTCTTATTAATTAAATTCCAGTTGTATTTTAAAGGGGCAGGGGGAATTATAAAAAGAAAAAGGCAATAAATATTAATACGATCTGCCTTGGCTTCTCAACAAAAATGCTGAAATTTGGCATGATTATAGCCCTCAAAGCTATATGCTGCTGGCCTAATTTCACATACTAAAGATAAATGATCTAGATTTTTTTTCTTTCACAAAAATCAGGATTTGGAACAGCTGTATCAGCACCATCTTGAATTTTGGATGTCATTTGGTTAATCGAGTCAAAGAAAATTCCAGATCAGCCTCTCAAATACATAAAATGGAAACACTTGAATTCTGCTGGAAGAGCTTTAAAACAACAACAGTAGGGCAATGACAGAGCTCTGGAATCTCTGTGGGTCCTATGCAGGGCTGGGCTTCAAGTAGTTTAACAACTGGTTCTCTGCCCAGTTGCTGGGTGGGCGTGACCATGGTGAGCCTGGCCTAGTCAGCCTCCTGCACCACCCTGGTTGTGAAAATGGCCATGGGGACGGGGGCGTTTTTTGCCTTCCCTGAGCCTCCACACGGGCCCTGCACTTACCTGCAATCCAAAATGGGCTGTGTGGGGACTCCTGGTAGGGTGTGAGGTGGGTTGGATGGGGCCAGCCAGGGGTGGGATTTGCCAGTTTGCTGAACTGGCCATAAAATTAAAAACCGGTTCACCCAAGCCTGTGCAAACCGGTTAGCAGCCTAACCCTGGTCCTACGTCCTTGAAATCTGCAATCTCAACAGATCTGGAGAACATCAGATATGGAAAATGAGATTAGATAAATATGTAACTTTCTTCAAAAAAAAATCTTGTGCACCATCCATTTATTATGTCCAAACCCTAGCAAACTATCGTTACATCAGAGCTTGATTTATCCCGTTAATCTATTTTGGTAATCTGTAGTAAAGATAACTTGCTTTTGAGGTTTCAACCTTACATCCGTTCGTAAGGAGAAGAAGGAAGAGAAAAATACAATAGCCCAAAAGATATATGTAGGATGGCAAAGCATAGCTTACCACTGTCCAGGTCAGGCTATAAAGTGTGTGAATAAATTGAATCCAAGATTTACTCATATCTAAAAAAGCGTTTTGGTCATCTTCCTCTTGTGTGTAGCTAAGAGAATTACTCTGGCTTTTTAACTCTGAATACCCTTCACAGTTCTTGCTCTTTACAAATAGCTATAGCAATTAAGCAAGGAACAAGGAAACAGATTTATTTCAAGATAATTTCAGAGACATATGGGGCGTTTTCTCTTTTGTAATGTGTTTCCAAGATACATCCCACCAGTTAGGGAACTATGTGTCTCGTAGACAACTTTGGAAATGTTTGTTCCTTATATGCCATTCAATTTCAAGCAGCCTTCCTCCTCCTTAGGGCTCCAGTCAGCATTGTCCCTATTGAACTAGAAGATTTCACAGCCATGAGACATTTGAGGGACAAAGCTATTTCCATGAACAGTTTTGGAGCAAATTATATTTAGAAAGCTAGCAAAGAGTTTAGCGACAAAGGTACCCCTTCTTCCACTCAGCAAGTTCTTTCTCCTTGTCTGCATTACTCTGTCTGTTGCTCACTGCTTATTCTCCGTGGCTGGTTCAATAACATTCAAAGAAAAATAGTACATCTTTCCTTGCTACTTGTGTTGCTGCTGTTGTCAGTCACACTAAATAATCAATTTATCCAAATTCTGTAATAGCTAAAGAAAAATGGTTTTTTTAAGTGTATCGTTGCTCTTATTATCATTATTTGAATTGGCTCAAAGATTCCCAAAAAATTGTTCCCACCATTGTAACTGTAATCCCACCTCCCCTAGGCCTAATAATTATGTCAAATAATTATAAGAATTTAGAAAGACAAGACTTAACTATGTAGGAATGATGTTGGTTCTTTCAGCAGGACATCAGTAGGACGTTTGTATATTTCGATTAGACTTTTTTTTTTAATCCCACTTTTATTACTTTTTAAGTAAGTAAAGTGGTGAATATGCATAATAGTCCTTCCTCCTATTTTCCTCACAACAACAACCCTCCGTGGTGGGTTGGGCTGAGAGAGTGTGACTGGCCCAAAGTCAACCAGTTGGTTTTTCATGCCTAAGGTGGGACTAGAACTGTCAGTTTCCCTGGTGATTGGCCCAAAGCCAAGCAAAAATCTGAGGGACAGGCTGAGGGATAGTTTCAGAACAAAGAAGAGGGTGATGCAAGTATGAGAGGTCAGCTAATAATGTCTTTTTCTGCTCAAGCAGAATTTCTGATGACAGAATGGGCGCACCCATATGGCTTACTTGGCATCAATTCAAAATGGCTTTCCATTACCTTTTTCTATGATTTTTTTAAAAAATCCCAATATAAACTACGGTCTAGATCAGAGGTGTCAAACTCGATTTCATTGAGGGCCACATCAGAGTTGTGTTTGACCTTGGGAGGCCAGGATGGGCATAGCAAGCTCAATGTCATTCATGTCGGGGGTGCCTGTGGTGGCCCGAATGCTCCCAAGCTCCGTTTTTGGCTGCGCCGGTCTCCTGAAACCTCTGCCAATGAAAATGGAGCTCAGGAGAGCTACCTGTGGCCCTCCCGAGCTGCATTTTCAATGGCAGTGGCAACATGGGCTGGTCTTCGCTGTTTCCAAGGTGGCCCCATGGGCCAGATGTAAGTATCCCACAAGCAGGATCCGGTCCTTGGACCTTGAGTTTGACACCCCTGGATTCTTCTTATCTGGGTCCCATCAAAATACGGATCAGTTCTTTTATGCTTGTCTTTTGCAACATCTGCCAGAACCTGAAACAGTCTGCCACAAAACATAATTTAATTTTAATGTAAGTAAAGTTACATCAGTTTAAATGCAGCTCCTATGATTTCATTATCATAATATTTATCGCAATATTTAATATAAACCTTCCAATCACAATAATAAACATTGCAGCAGATTTTAGACCTTTTTTTTTAGAATTTTACAAGTTTTGGAGCTTGAGCCCAAGGCTTGCATGGAACATCTAACTGTATGGCCCTTGGCCTCAGGCAATACACTTCTGTTCTACGTTATTATATTTATAACGGTGTGTGTTTACCACCATATAACCACACAACAACCATTGAGATAGCGGGCTTGAATTTTTCTGGATATATTTATCAATTGTTTCTGATA